TTCTTCAACTATCCTCCGTCGGACCTCTGTTTCTTCTCTGTCACTTTGCCAATCTCTCTTTCTTCCTTCTCCGTTGTGTGCCAGCCATACCTACTACTACACGCATGCCACTTCATAAGTGAGCTAAAATGTTTTTAAGTTTAATTAACTTCGTGTGCCTGCCATACCTACTGCTCGCCATACCATTTCTTCATCGTGTGCCAGCCATACCTACTACTACTACCCGTCGTGCCATTTCATAAGTGAGCTAAAGTCTTCTAAACATAGCCTTATAAACTGGACCTGAGAGAATATTTTCATAATGTACTTATCTAACTTTGTATTAATGCAATGAACAATAATTGCTAGAATTATTGGTGCCTGAGTGGATTGTTTCTTGATCCCTATTTGTTGGCTCATTGCTAGAATTTTGTAGCTAAGCTGCCATTGTTGATCCCAGTTTGTTGGCTCATTACACCAAGGTGACACAACTCATTGGAATAATCGAAGATAGAAGCAATGAGTTAGTTGAGTTTCAGGGGGGAAGGTGACGAAGCATCCATGGAGAAAGGCAAGGTAGTTTCGGTAGTTGGATCCGGAGGTGTTGGCCGGGTTGATCTCAGCATCGGTTACATGACCGAGTTCTAAGGGGCAATCCCCACTTACATGACTTAATCAGAGTCGTAGAATCGATCTTGGCTGCGCCCCCTCCCCCCGTTGCACAGCGCTTATAAAAAGGTTTCCTAACCCTCTCGGTAGCCAATGCGAATGAGAGAGGTTAGCCACGCAAACCCTAAGTCTTGATTTGATCGAGTGCCGGAGTGAAGGGAAGGCCAGCGCCCCACGTCTCTCCTTCCCCAATCTCACCGACAAGGGCATCGCCACCACTATCAGGTTGACCTAGGAGGGAGTCACCGCTGCCAGGAGGACACCAATGATGAGTACGACTATGGGATCAACTCCACCGACCTCTCTGCATCGACGCCTCCATGCAGGCATGTGTCTTCGCTATTGAGGCCCAATGAACAACTCCTTTGCTAATGAAGGTAAACCCGAGAGAGATCTAATCTAAGTCTAAGAGATTCATAAAATGGGGAATTTTTTGTTTGCCCAAGGAGGCTTAGGAATCCTAAGTCTAGAGGCACAAAATGCATGTGTACTCAACAAATGGATATACAAATTAATCAACCAGACGTTGTTTGACAAGAACTTAGCTAGGAAGAAGTGCCTAAAAAATCTATTGGACAGGTTCAATGGAAACTAGAAAACCGTCATTTATCATTGTTTTCATTCAATCTCAATGGCAATGAAGCTAGGTTTTGGGAGGAATAAAGATATTTATTTGGCTCTTAATAAAAGAAGCGATTTTGACAGAAGACTTGTTTTTAATAATAACAAGAAACTTTCCAACATATGTTCTTTGATTGCCATGTCATGAGATTTATTTGGCGTGTGTTTCATATTGCATTTGATTTAAGACCATAGATGGATATTTATGATCGTTTTGGGTATTGGCTACACCATTTGGAATGAATTGAAATGGGGTACGTTTGGGTGGAAACAAGTACAATCTGTTGATCCATGCATATGGTTGTATAGAAATGATATGGTTTTTTTTAATAAAATAGGGTTACACTCTTATACACACCCTATTTTCAGGCTACGTCGTATAGGACTTGCTCTTTTAGTCCATCTTACAAAAGGAGAACGATATGCCATAAATAGATTGGGCGCATGTAGAACTAGAGGCAAAGGTCATGAAAGTCTTCCTCAAGTAACCAAAATAAAAGTTTCCATTTCCTCCTTTTTTTTTGAGCAAATGTTTCCATTTCCTCCTAATAATAAAAAAAAATTGTTAGAGAAATCTTTGCGCGAGCGGACGTTCTCCCACATCATCATGGGCCGCAACTGGGCCCCGCACTCTCGGCGTCCTCGTTATTATTGGATCAGAGTCTTCAAGATCCCTTGCTTGCGTCTTGTTTAATTAAATTAATTTCCGAGGGTCTCTTCGGAGACATCCGATAAATTAATTTTCGAGGCCTTTTGCTACGTACAGTAGTACGGTGGCAAGGAAGAAAAGTGGTTGCTGCTTCAGCCATGCCAGCGCAACGGTACGAGCTAGCCTGCATAATAATTGACAAGGATGTCATTGACTCGTGGTCGATTCTCTTCCACGGCAGCAGTTATCGCCATCAATAAAATAAAACCTCTTGATGAAGACCCTAAAATTAAATGTCTTCTTCAGTAATTTATTTATTTATTTTTTTGCATACATCTCTGGTAGTCTGGTTGGTAGGTAGGCTGTGTTTGGCATAGCTCTTTAGGGCTCCGGCTCCTCCGTGAAATCACTATAGCATCAGTGTTTGTCAGTAGCACAGAGCCATTTTGAATTTCGAGGCAGAAAATAAACTGAGAAAAGGAGGAGCCGGTGGAGCCACGATTTTGAGCTTGTCCAGCATTCGTGCTACAGTACACCTACAGTAGCTGAGCCAGAACCGACGAGAGCTGTGCCAAACATGCTCGTAGTTTGTTACACCGTCTAGTTGAAAAGGCTTTTCTTTATTATTATTATATAGAATATGCTCTCGTTCATTATCTAATGGGGGAACTAATAACTAGGAAAGAATCTTAATGGGTGTTTGGTTTCTCCTCTTAAACTTTGAGTCGCTGTCCCATTGGATATTTGGACATATGCATGTAGTATTAAATATATACTAATTACGAAACTAATTGCACAGCTTGTGACTAATTTGCGAGATGAATCTTTTAAGCCTAATCAGTCCATGATTTAACAATGTAATGCTACAGTATATATATGTGCTAATGACGGATTAATTAGGCTTAATAAATTCGTCTCATGGAGTACTGACGGATTCTGTAATTTGTTTTTTTTATTAGTATCCAAATACCCCATATGACACCCTCACGTGACACCTCCTAAATTTTAGTCACCGGATCCAAACACCCTCTAAGAGTGAGATGCATGGCAGGCTGTTCCCACGTTGGTCCACCATGTTATCTCTGGTGATGCGAAAAGATTTAGCTACGTAAACATTGACATGACCATTTCGTATATAAGCATTATTTAATTAGTCGTGAATGGTGGGCGAGATTATACCTGTTTTCAAACCTTTAATTTACTATTAATACCTCATAAGACCCCTTGGAAAAGGTCGTGCAACTGGACCTTGAAGCCATTTGAATTATTTTAGAAAAGGTGAATCCATTTGAATGCATGCTGTCTTTAACATTTTTTAAAAAAAAAAAAAGATAGAGAGCAGAAATACAAGGAACTTAAAATACATCAATCTGTCTTGCTCAAACCTTTAATTTACTTGTTGCTCAAAACCCATGGAAAAGGTCGTGCAACTGGACTTGAATCTATTTGAATCACTACAACAAATCCTCCAATCCGTAATATTTTACTGGTGGCCTTTATTGGAAATGTCATGGATCATGCAACATCTTGGACATGTATTTTTTTTCTTCAAAAAAAAAAAAAACGACAGAAAGCAGAAATGGAAATTTAAAATAACAGATAATAATTGTATTTTGTGTGTGCTAGATAGGACTAAACCACAACACAGTCTGACAATCACAAATTTCCATAATTAAGTTTCTACTGGTAAAGTAGACAAAATACATGTCACTCTCATATATGCTTATATATTATTACTACCACGAGGTTTCCTCAAACCTTGTTATCTATCACTGCCTCTATATATACAAAACCATGAGCACCTATTTAATTTGTCTGCTCTCTTTTTAATTTGATTTTGTCTGTGTTAGATAGGACTAAACCAAAACAGTCTGACAATCACTACTAACAACTTGCTGCTGGTAGATTATTTAGGGGAAAAAATATGCCACTCTCATAAATTCTTACTATTACTAGCCACGAAGATTCCCCAAACCTTGGTATCTATCACTGCCACTATATATATATATACAAACCATGGACACCTATGTGTCTCTGCTCTTTAATTTCTCTCTAACTAGCTAGCAGAGATTTGTCTCTTTCTACCAAACCCGTGGGCCAATTAAACGCCATGCATTGTTCTAACATGCCCTAATAATACACGCTGAAAAAAACCTAAAATCATTGTATTGTAATTAACCATGATTATAGCTAGCTAGGCCACTACGAAACA